AAACGTTTTTGACACTTTAATTTTTTTTATAAAATATTTTTTACCGTTAACCCTTGACTAGCAATAAGAAGCACCAACAGTAAATTCCCAAATTTCCCATAACTTCCACCCCCCAGCTAGCAAAATATATAAGTTTAAAATATTTAAATAAATTGAACCCCTGAGGGTTAAAAAAATAAATAGAAGTTAAGCCCCAGGGGTTAAAAAAAAAAATCAGATCACAGTATAATACTGTGAACTGTATTCTGATCACTGTATGTAGTGATCAACTGGCAGGGAAGTGGTTCATTTTAATTAGGACTGGATAAAAGGGGGTGGGATTTTTTAACTTTTTAAAAACGTTATTAAAACATTTTTTAACTGTTTTTTTTTACTTTTTAGAGCTTTTTAAAAAAGTTTTTAACCCCTAGCTAGCCTAACACCAAATTCCCCAATTCACCACTAACTTCCACCCACCCCAGCTAGCTAAATGTATAATTTTTAAATATTTAAATTAATTAATAAAATTAATTTAACCCATGAGGGCAGTGGCGTACACACAATTCATGGGGCCCCGGTGCAAAAATGTTCCATCGGGCACCCCTATGTCCCTGCCACCCCCCCACTGCCACCCCATACAGACACACACAGACACACACACATACATAGACACACACAGACAGACATACAGACATATACATAGACACATACATACAGATACACATACAGACACACACACATACATACAGACACATACATACAGAGACACACACACAGACACACACACACAGATAAATACAGACACAGAGACACACACAAATACAGACACACATACACACACACACACAGATACATACACAGACACAACATACAGACACACACACACACACACACAGATACATACAGAACATACATAGACATACAGAGACACATACACATAACACACACACATGCAAAATATTTTAGTCACCCTCCTATTACCTACCTTTTAGGTGCAGGAGGGTGACTTCCCTGGGGTCCAGTTGCTCAGGTTGATGGGAGTCAGAGTTCCTACTCTGACTCCCTCTGCTTAGTCCTGCTCCTGGTGGTTGCTGGGAGGAGTGACTGCGGCAGTCACTTCCTCCCAGCGTCTGACATCATCAGAGGGTGCACGGTCGTCCTGTTACCAGGCACACTCTGATGATGATATTCATTTCCATCGGGTGGCCCTAACCGCATAGGCCACCTGATGGGCTGGTTCACCTGCGGCCCCGGCAATTATACCGAGCCGCCGGGGCCGCAACACATGGCGGCGGGCACCCGGTCGCAGGGGTCCGCAGGATGGCCGGGCCCCCTGGAGTGACGGGTCGAGTCGCAGCTGCGACCCCTGCGACCGCAGTATTACGCCGCTGCACGAGGGTTAAAAAAATGTATAAAAGTTGGGGGCGGGGCCTGACTGTCATGGTCGAGACGAGTTTTGAGCAAGCTCCTCTCCTATACTGGCAATTCAGCAATTTGCTGCTTCACACAACTCGATATACATCGAACCCAACGTCCTACATGTAGATTGCACTAGCGGACATACCCTGCAGGTACTGGGGGCAAGCTTGAAGCACAGTTCGGATCATGCGGCCTGAAGTGCGTCAGGCAGGAGAGGTGGCTGATCTCCCAGCCTGGAGTGATCCTGCAGCATGCCACATTGTGTGGGTGCCCCATTACCCCTCCCTCTGGGCCGGCTGGTGTGATACCAGCGCACCCCAGGGAGGCTACCCTGCCCTTACAGGCATTCGTGGTGAAGACACAAGGACAGATGGAAAATGATTGAGGAACCAAAAATGGCGGATGAAAAGCCTGATCTCAAGACAAGGTTGGATATTATATTCCAAAACTTCTGGATGAAGCTAGAGCAAAGGATGCATCAAGAGGCCCCACAGCCGGCGACTAGATGCTCACCTCCCAGGCGGATTCCAATCCTGCAACAGCATTCCGTGGCTCTGGCTATGAGGAAAGCCCCAAAATGCAAAATGGTGGCGAGTAAAGCAGCGTATATTGCACCAGCAGCACGTGAGCCTTGAGCCATCTGACGCACCAGAGGTAGTGGTGTTGACCTCGACCACGGTGAGTGGCTTTGTCATACGGCCCACGGCATCTCTCCATAAGGCTGAACTGAGCTGACTAATGGAACTCTTTGGGACTAATGACCAAGGCCAGCAACAATCTATGACACAATCTACTTTAAAGCTGCACTCTTTAGCATGTTCGACTAATTTACTAATAGCCTGTTACTTTCACCTTAAGCTTTGCTACAAACACAGATGACAAGCCTAACACATACATTAAACTCCTCTGTTGACTACGACTAATGTACACTCTCATACTAAAACTACAAAAATTGTGCCGTCTCCTGGAAGCCACACTGTTTTATATAATATGTAAAACTAATGCGTGCTGATGATGTTGTGGCAAGGTAAGCTTGTATTGTTATATGTGCACAACAAAAATAAAGAATTATAGAAATAAAATAAAATAAAAACGGATTACACTGCCGTGGGGTATGCCGTTAGCTGCATTGTTAAACGGACACCATAGTTACCTGAACAACTTTAGCTTAATGAAGCAGTTTTGGTGTATAGAACATGCCCCTGCAGCCTCACTGCTCAATCCTCTGCCATTTAGGAGTTAAATCCCTTTGTTTATGAACCCTAGTCACACCTCCCTGCATGTGACTTGCACAGTCTTCCATAAACACTTCCTGTAAAGAGAGCCCTATTTAGGCTTTCTTTATAACAAGTTATGTTTAATTAAGATTTTTTTATCCCCTGCTATGTTAATAGCTTGCTAGACCCTGCAAGAGCCTCCAGTATGTGATTAAAGTTCAATTTAGAGGGGGGCGGGGCCTAACCAGCATGGCTGACAGACGTGTGTGAGATGAGCTCCTCACACAAATTGAGGCACCCATGGTTTAAATAGAGGTATAACCCCTAAAATCAAAACCAAAGAGACTACGCACTATAAACTACTGACCGGGAACCCTCTCAAGCGAAACTGGAGACTCACCCCGCACTCTAAAGCCAGAACCAGACTCTGCGGCCTACTTACCTGGCAGATCCCAGAGGGAAGGAAGCGGCCGATCCTCCAACTTGGGGCTACCAGACTACCGCAGCAGACCTTTTCTTCCCCCCCCCCCCCTTTGGACCGGTGGGGGTCATCCCGGTACCAATTAGTAGACAGGAAGCTAAGTACACCTCAACAGTAAATAACGTCTCCCCATACCGGAGCCGCAACCAAAATGGCCACCACGACGGAGAAATGCACTGCAACAGACTGGGAGACCAGCTTTAATGCCAAATTCGACAGGGTGTGCGCAGCGTTCTGGCGCCGGATTGAAGCCCGTACTCAGCAGGCGCAGCCACCCACAACTCAGATTTTAAAGCTCCATCCGGCAACATTCCCAAAAAACAGCTTTAGCGAGCCGACAAACCCAGCCACACACATGGCCCACGCCGCAGCCTCAACCGCACTGACCTCTTCTGGGCCGGGTACTCACCTGGAGGTACCCCTCCTCCGCCAGCCACACACCCAGGGTAGAAACCGAACACCGGAACACTCCTGGGACCAGGACCCCCAAATCGGGACCTGCGGCAAGAAGGCGCGAGTCCCCGTCAAGGCCTCAGGCCGAGGACATGCGGCACACAGACTTTGCAAGCCAGTGCTAAGCTGGACAAAACAACCGACAAGAACACCCAAACGACCACCTAAACTGGAGAGACAATCTGGAGAAACACAGGAGACTTCCACTTACAAAAGGAGCAGAAAAAGGCGCACCTTACGACCCGAGCCACAAACCCCCCGCACACGCAGCAGCCAAGAGGCTCAACCCAAGCAGCCGAGGACGGCACAATGCCTTCCAGTAAAGGGGGCCCAAACTCCTCCACAGACATATCAATGGGCACCCCCCAGAGTGACGCTGGGCCACACACCACTCACAGAACCTCGCTGTCACGGAACTGTGGGCCCAATACCGGGAACCTCGGACTGGAGGATCTCTTACACAAAGCCAGCGACCTACATGCAACCCCAAAGGTCCCACAGAACAGGTGTAGGCTGACTACGGACTGAGACCTGGGAGCTCCACCCGAGTACGGGGGAAAGTTTCCAGTGCTGCAACAAGACCTCTCAGTCTATGTCTTCAAAAAACACTTTAATTTTTCTTTTGTTGTTGTCTTTTCTTCCATTTTCTCCACACAGTTGGCACCGGTGGCAACATAACCTGTGATACTTTAGCATGATCTATATAGCCACCTCTCCACCTACCATAGAGCCTAGAAAGATTTGCATACTCTGAGAACAGACATTACCGTTTAGCTCTAGGAAAGTATCACTAAGCCTGTTACTAATCTTATCATTGCACCTTTTTACTCGTGTTTAACTTAGCATAATTCTCATGTCCCGTTTATCAACCTGATTCAGCTATCTATGTGTACTTTAACTGCCGGGATCAACATGTCTAGCTTGTAGAAATCTTAATGTTCTTCATATATGAGTATATAAATTGTCTCTCCACTACCATTTTGAGAGCTGCAGTGTGAAATAGACCCCAGTGGTAACAAGCTACTATGTCTCATCTATACCATGCCTTGTTTAAGCTTCACTAGCATCCAACATGTCTAGCTTTTAAAATTGTCAGCAATACTGCTCCTTTTATTGCCCCCAACACGTTGTATGCTCTTGCTTTGTCTTCCGGTATTTGCATAGCTAGCCATGGTAAACCAGCTTGACGTATACCTAATTGTTTTCTTCTTCTACCTTAAAAAATGTATGCAAACCTAACTAGCCACACACCTGTTATACCTATGTTCATTGAGCCTGCTACAGCTGTTGTGGCGAGACAGGCACTGTTGTACTTTACCGCATACCAAAAATAAAGAATTATAAAAAAATAAATAAAAAATAAATAAAAAAAAGTTCAATTTAGAGATTGAGATACAATTATTTAAGGTAAATTACATCTGTTTGAAAATGAAACCAGTTTTTTTTTTCATGCAGGCTCTGTCAATCATAGCCAGGGGAGGTGTGGCTAGGGCTGCATAAACAGAAACAAAGTGATTTAACTCCTAAATGACAGTGAATTGAGCAGTGAAATTGCAGGGGAATGATCTATACACTAAAACTGCTTTATTTAGCTAAAGTTATTTAGGTGACTATAGTGTTCCTTTAACCCTCGGGTTAAAAAAAATATATCAGAGCACAGTAAAATACTGTGATCTATATTTTGACCTGTGTAGTCAGTGATCAATTGACAGGGAAGTGGTTAATTTTAAAAAGCAGGGGTAAAGTGGGGGGCGGAAAAACATATTTCTTACATTCAAGTTTATTTTATTTGTTTGTGCATTATTTTCGAAAGCATTATCTATAGACCAGACTTCCTCAAACTCCGGCCCTCCAGATGTTGCTGAACTACAACTCCCATGATTCTCAGCCTATATATTTAATTCATAGAATCATGGGAGTTGTAGTTCAGCAACATCTGGAGGGCCGGAGTTTGAGGAAGCCTGCAGTAAACATTGCATTACAAATAGGGGGTATTTTCCTTCACTGTGTCCCTTTAAACAAAGTCTGCAAATTGCTCAAAGTTACTGTGTAACCATGTATACAATTCAACAGTGAAATACATCAAACACAGTTCCCCTATGAAAGCTTTCTTGTGTAAATACACTCCTTTTTGAAGAATGCATACAAATGTCATTTATTTCAGCAAAACAAAGATGACTTTTTTTTCTTCATAGTTTAAATATTTGAATTTACAATCTGTGAACAGATGAAGAGTCAAGTGTTTTGAGAACAAAGGCTCTTGGATTTTACCGCCACGTCATTTTTCAGTGTAGACCTTCTAAAGAAGCAGGTGGGTGGAATGAGAATCCTAAAATATTTCACAATTTTAAGTGACAAGACAAGCCATGCAATAACAGCACAAGAAAGACTTTCACTGAGCCTAAACCCTCCATAGACAAACACATACCGAACAATGGGTGATAAAGAATAGCTTACGACTTAAAACTTGGAAAGGTCATTGGTAACTTTTGTATTTTTTGCACTTTAGAAAATAGTCAGTTTGTGAAAACTTGGCAACTGTAGTCTATTATTATGAAGTGGAAGTGTCTAGGAGCAACAACAGCCCAACAACAAAGTGGCATCACAAGCATACACGCAGAGTGGTGGTGGTGGTGGTGGTGGTGGGGGTGTACGTGCTGAAGTGTGTAGAGTAACGACTGCCTCAATAAGCAACACAAGAACTCTGCATCGTGAGTTCCATAAAATGGGTCTCCATGGCCGAGCAGCTTCAGGTCAACATACGCAATGCCACGTGTTGGCTGGAGTGGTGTAAAACTAGACTTGACAAATTTGCTTGGAATCTAGGAGCTAAAAAAAGCTAGGAGAAAGTTGTTTTAAAGCAAAAAAAAAAAAAACGAACAAAGTTTACATTTTCAACGGCAAAAATACAGCTAAATGTAGTGGTTCTGAGATCTATAACCTGCCCTATAGGCTTTTCAATGTAAATACTGCCTTTCCAGAATAAGGAAGTGTTTACAGTGCTGCCTACTAACACCTCTAGGTGCAGTCGCTCAAATGGCCACTAGAGGTGATTCCTAGTCCAGTGAAGCACATTGTGCAGCACCTACGTTTAACGTCTTCACACTCTGCACGGAGACGCTAAACGTTCCCTATAGAGATGCATTGATTCAACGCATCTCTATGAGGACATGCTGATTGGTGAAGCCTGGCATTTTGCTGCGCATGCGCTATAACTTCCCAATGCTTTCCTATGGGAAAGCATTGGTTTCGCTGGGATGAGCAAGTTTGATTACCATAGAGGCGGACCCAGCCACAGCGAGACCGGCACTGCTTGGGAAAAGAAGTGACTGAAAATTTCTTTCCCATGTGATCAGAAAGGGGCTGGTAACCTAAACAGGCACACTCACTGACAGACACACACACACACTCACTGACAGACAGACACACACCGACAGACACACACTCACTGACAGACACACACACTCACTGACAGACACACACTGACAGACACACACTCACTGACAGACACACTCACTGACATACACACTCACTGACATACACACACTCACTGACAGACACATGCTGACAGAAAAACATTGACACACATTCACTGACAGACACACACAAATGCCGGCAGACACACACACACACACTGATACTGACAGACAGACACACACACAGACACAAACACACACATTTTCTCATACGCACTTGCAGCGGATCCTTTCCATGAGGTCCAGTAGGGCTGCTGTAACCAATGTCTTCTTGCTCTAAGCAATGCTGAGGCCGGAGTGATGTCATCACTGAAAAGGCAGTGTTTACATTGAAAAGCCTACAGGAATAGGCTATAGACACAAAAACAACTACCGTATTTTCCAGCGTATAAGACGACTTTTTAACCCTGGAAAATCTTCTCAAAAGTCGGGGGTCGTCTATATGGCTGCCTAGGGCGCCATATAGGAGGGGGCGCCATGCGCCCCCATCGCCGGCCCTTCTAATGCTGCAGCCGCCTGAGCGGTCTATAGAGAGCACTCAGATGGCTGCCGCAATGCCTCTCTCACCTCCCCTTCCCTGTGTAGCGTGGGTGGCCGAGCTCCTCTTCATCCTGTCATCCTGTCACACCTCCACACTGAGTGCTCACTTCCTTTCAGTCCGGCCGGGAACAGGTAACTGAATCTCCTGTACCGCGCGGTACCCGGCCAGACTGACAGGACGAAGAGGAGCTCGGCCACCCACTCTGCACAGGGAAGGGGAGGTGAGAAGAATGTAGAGAGGATTGGGGGGGAGTAAAAAGAATATATCTCAATTAGCCTACTGTGTGCTAGACCAGCAGGCATGGATTATGTGCCCAAACAGCCTGGCACATACCTGGGCTTTAAATGCTATTTCAGATCATTATTTAATGTCTTGCTGTGTAGCTCTGTCTGCTCACTGTACATCATGGCTAATTTTTATTTGGTGTGCATTGGAAGAGGGGTAGTCTTATACGGCGAGTATATCCCAAACTCTATATTTTAACTGGAAAAGTTGGGGGTCGTCTTATACGCCCAGTCGTCTTATACGCCGGAAAATACGGTACGTTAAGCTGTATATTATACATTAAGCTGTATACCGTACATTGCGCTGTATACTATACATTAAGCTGTAAACTATACATTAAGCTGTATAATGTACATTAAGCTGTATACTATACATTAAGCCTATATATATAGACATTAAGCTGTATACTGTACATTAAGCCTATATATATATACACACATTAAGCTGTATATTGTACATTAAGCTGTATACCGTACATTAAGTCTATATATATATATATACACATTAAGCTGTATACCGTACATTAAGCTGTATACCGTACATTAAGCCTATATATATATATATACACATTAAGCTGTATACCTTACATTAAGCTGTATACGTACATTAAGCTGTATATTGTACATTAAGCCTATATATATATATATATACACACATTAAGCTATATACCGTACATTAAGCTGTATACCCTACATTAAGCCTATGTATATATATACACACATTAAGCTGTATACTGTACATTAAGCTGTATACCATACATTAAGCCTATATATATACACACATTAAGCTGTATACTGTACGTTAAGCTGTATACCATACATTGAGCCTATATATATACACACATTAAGCTGTATACCATACATTAAGCCTATATATATACACACATTAAGCTGTATACTGTACGTTAAGCTGTATACCATACATTGAGCCTATATATATACACACATTAAGCTGTATACCATACATTAAGCCTATATATATACACACATTAAGCTGTATACCATACATTAAGCCTATATATATATATATATATATATATATACACATTAAGTTGTATACCGTACATTAAGCTGTATACCGTACATTAAGCTGTATACTATACATTAAGCTGTATACCGTACATTAAGCTGTATACTATACATTAAGCTGTATACCGTACATTAAACTGTCGTGGCTCTGGTGATTATAGTGCCCTTTAATGATCGCTCCTTTCATGAATGGCACTCCAGATATGACAGAGCACTGGGTCTTTCACAAAAAGCTACACAGAACTTGCTGAGAGAGGAGCGGTTTTCTCTGGTTATTTTTCTGAGTGGAGCTTTCCACACCAGAACCTACTGGCTGTTGGTGTTTAAGAATGAAGAGAGATCTTGGACTCACGTTGAATATCAATATATATTAATGGTTTGAATGAATCCTGTAACATATTATTCTATCGTTCTGTCGGGTAAAATATTTTATAACTAAATAAATATTGAATTATGGATGTGATCCAATTGCCCTTCTATTTGTTTTATTTCCCCCCTTTTCTAGACTTTTCTTTGATTACTACTGTTTTTATTTAATATTTTGTTATGTTATATGTAATATATATTTTTAATTGTTGAATAAATATAATTTGAAAAGAAATGGAAAGTCTTCAGTGTTGTTTTTACAGTAGAATTACCCAGCAGTATCAGACACATATGAATTTCATAAGTTCCCTCAACAAACTCAGACACTCTGTTACCCAATAATCTGATTAGAGAGCAGAGGGACATTCTACGTCCCTTCTCTAAGCGTTTCCGGGATCTCAATGAATGCTGGAAACAATCCCAGCCAGATATTCAAGGTGATCCACCTTGCTATCTAACTCACATAGGGGTGTCACCTTGGAGGCACTACGCATCCGGTCTTTGTTTTTATAATAGGGGGTTTGATTTGAGACATATCTGCCTGGTGTAAATGGAAAGAAATGAAGAAAGCCAATTATATCCCCAGCCTCCTTCACCAATCAGGGAGGACCGGGCATAAACAGCCCATCATTTGGGGATTCAGCCCCCAGTGATGCCCCCTACCCCACTAACATGGCATACATTAATGGTGTCCTTGTCCTAAGACTGATGATAGGGGGCCATCCCAAACAGGGTTTATAAAGCAGAACCTCTAACCAGTCTGTCACTCTCTGACAATAGCAGAGTATTGTTAAATTCTCCAGTCCCTCCTCTCGTGGGTGCAGCGTTTCACCTAGAATATCTGCCAAAAAAGGCATCAGGCCATGAGCCTCAGGGTAGCCGGGCTTCACTGTTGGAGGTGGAGGCAAAAGACATAAATCTACCTTGCAGTAATCCACCACCTCTCAATGAACAATTTACCCAGGGCAAGAACAATAATGTACCCAGAGGCAGCAATCTTTGCATTCTGAAAGGACCAGGCAGAAGGCAAAGTTTGGAAGATAATACACACTGAGAAAAAAAGCCTTTTGTTGGTGTGGAATAAAATAGTACCGAGTAAGTATTAAACTGTGTGCCTGTTTTGTTCCCCATTAGTTTAATGAACTTACAAACAGAAAAAGTAAAAAGAGAAACTTGCGTATTGCACTTGGGAAATCACCACGGACGCATATGTTATATGCATAATAAACCACGTGGGAACTCTCAGATCATATCCGCACACACAACACTTCATATACATTGTATACTGCAAGCGGCACAGAGATAAAATCTGAACCCTACATTTAGAAATCACATTGTATCTATATATTATTATTATTGCGCCATCAGTTTCCGTAGCGCTGTACAATGGGTGGACTAACAGACATGTAATTGTAAACTGACAACTGGACGTACAGGAATAGAGAGGTGAAGGCCCTCCTCAATGAGCTTACATTCTAGAGGGAGTGGGGTATAGTGACACAAAGGGTAAAAGTAGGGGTATGAAGGGGTACATATATATACACACACACACACACACACTCCAGAAAAATGGGACTTTATCAGAGACTGGAAAGACAGCGCTCACTACATGCTATAAAAGTAATATAGAAACTGGACACGGGTTAGTGAATGGGACAGTAAGTACATTCATTGATTGAAGTTACAAACAACTAAATAAATAAAAACCTTTTATGATGGCCTGTTGTTTAGGCTCACACGTTTAGTTTAAGAATCTGAAAGCCAAGTATATGTGTTTTGTTACCGGACTACTGTAGATTCTGAAAGGAAATGTCGCCTTCCTGTACAAATGACCTTGAACCATTTTTTAAATTCCTCAATTACGACCGTAACAAAAAAACAGCAACATAATACACGTTTGAGTACCTTGCAGAACAATTGCTGAAAAGTGTGTGTTAACAGAACAAAAAACGAAAAAGAAAGGGCTTAGCACAGGTGTGTAAAAGGGGACATTGAACGCAATCAGTAGATGGGATTTTACACACTTATGCCCTGATCTACATAGCGATTTTAACACCGTAACTGGTCAGACATGCCCAAGCTATCTTTTTATTATTTGATTTTATAAGTTTGGCAGACAGCCTGTTCCTTTTTAAACTGATTGGTAGCACCTTGCCACTAAGCAACACAAAACCAAACTGTTTATTTCAAATACCTGAGTTAATCACAATGAGTTTACAGAGAACAGTCAATAGATGACTAAATCACAGGTTTGGAATTCACACCCTCCAGTGACCCACTCTCAGAGCTTCCTGTAATGAGGTTAAAATATGCTGGTTGGGGGGCGTGGCTCGATCGCCGATGGAGTAAGCCGCACGCCGCACTTGCTCCCAGGCCCCGACCCGCTTAAGCCCAGATCACAAGCAGACGGCGCGGTCCTCATGGGGAAACCCAAACGCGCGGGGACCCCAAGGCACCCCCCCTCACCCACCGTGAGCCGACAACCCGGTCCCATGGACGAATATCTGTCCACCCCGCAGCACCTCAGAGGCGCACGTGGCGCGGACAAGATGGCGCCCCCCTCACCGAGCTCCAGCAGTGTGACAGGCTCTGTTACTGACATGCCTGGCACTGATGCACTGACACAAATGTCAGCTGACCTTGCTGCAATATCTGCCAACATGCTCACCCGTGGGGACAAAACTGCGCTCGTATCAGAACTGCGCACTGTCATCCGGGAAGAAATTGCCGCGGTACGCAGAGATCTCACGGCACTAGAACAGAGGGTGGATGAATTGGAGGAACACCGCCTCCACACCACACACCATCAGCAGGCTGCAGACCTGGCAACCACACGGCAGGGGAACATTCTCCTTGAGCTGCGCAGACAGGTGGAGGACCTGGACAACAGAGGCCGCCGCAACAACATACGCGTGCGGGGCCTCCCTGAGTCCGACGACGAGTCCCCAAGAGAATTACTGACCGGCCTCTTCGCGCAACTTCTTGGTGAGGATGCCCCCCCCGAAATACCCATGGAACGAGCGCACAGAGCACTACGTGGTCCCAGGAGTGATGGGCAACCCAGAGACATGATCTGTTGCCTCACATCGTTCCAGCAGAAAGACGCCATTATGAGAGCGGCCAGAGCCCAACGCTCAATTGCTTACATGGACTCCCAAGTAATGCTGTTCCAGGACCTGTCGTCCCTCACGCTCGACGCCAGACGGGCATTGAAACCACTAACGACCATGCTACGAGAAAAACGGATTCCCTACAAGTGGGGCTTTCCGTTTAGCCTGCAAGCCAAGATTGACAACCGCTGGCACACACTACGCTGGCCCAACGATGTCCCCAGATTCCTTCAATCTGCAGGTCTGCCACACATCCACATACAGAACTGGATCCTTGAAAACCCGCCAGCTCGCCCGACCGGGCCCTACTCAGCTGCGGAGAACCTGCTGGGAGGTCGCGCTGCACCACCACCACGGCGCAGAGGCGGCCCTGACGGCCCAGAGGAATAACCACCCGAGGCTCTACAACCAACCTCCCATACCAGGTAACTGGGGCCACCCCCTAGACAGACCCGAGCCTCTAGGGGGACACCAAACAACTGCCGCTAGCACACAGCAGCGCCTGCCTATCTACGCCCGGCCCTCAACGATCTTTGCCCTGGGTGTGCTGCGACCTGGGGAGCCGGGACGCTGCCCAATGAAACAGGGACACACTTCACTCTGTAAAGGCCCCTTGGGACTTGGGAGGGTGCCCTGGGTGAGATGTCGGGGGACACTAGTCACGCAGGGAGCCCATGAGAAGGGGATGTTCGAACACTCGGGGCGGGCCATGGAGAAATGGACTGTTTGGGAGGGAGGTATGGGCCACAAGTTTTAGAAAAAGCGGGCAAGTATTACTGCCATTTTTTAGTGAGGTAGCTCACGCATAAGCTACGATAACTGAAATTGCCCGCAAGGATACTGTGTTCAAGTTATATTGCTCTTGTATTTGTTAAAGATACACATGTTAGGCCACGGTTTTACCCCTGGCTAAGATTGCAATGTTAATTTATGCTGTATGACTCTTTCCTCAGACTGCAGACGTATCTCACCAACACATAACTGAGTTAACCCCTAAGAACCCACGCCTACCACCCCCCACCACGGACCGGCCAGACATGATACGCAAAAATGCGCCCATGCACACCAGACTAGCTCGGGCCCGCCCCCCACCCTCCCCCAAGTGCCCCAGGACCCGCGGATGTTACAAGAGCCACTTAACACGGCGGGTTGGGAGCCCCCGGGACACAGGCATTGACAACCTACATTTTTGAAGAACAGACTCGGTAGGTTACCCTCCACGCGCCTCGCGCAACTGACCTCCCCTGTACATAGGACCGGAGTTCGACGAGACTTCCTGACACTACAGTCTCCTGGACGCCACCAACCGGTTAAGGTTCAAACGTTGCATTGACCCCCCCCCCACCCCCCTGAAACTACTCACCCCCACATAGAACCCATCCCTTCGACCGACTAAACCACGAGGGCCAAGATGGGGTTCAGCCCAGCCCTACTCACATATTGGTCCAACAACACTAGGGGCCTTAACCAGCCAGAGAAGCGCTCTCACCTACTCCGCCGTCTCTGGGCGGAGAGAGTGTCCGTAGCGTTCCTGCAGGAGACGCACTTTCGGGGCCCAGACGCACCTAAATTAGAAAACAAACGCTTCAGTCTGGCTTACTACGCCAACCACCCGGATGCCAAGAGAGCAGGTGTAGCGATACTCTTTGCACACACTGTACCCTTCAAACATATTGCATCCCACACAGACCCTGGAGGGAGATATCTATTTGTCAAGGGCACGATAGCCGACCACACATACACATTCGCTAGCATATACTGCCCCAACCGCGGCCAACACACCTTTCTCTCCCGCACCCTAACCAAACTGAACAAATTTAGAGAGGGTCTCCTGATGGTAGCAGGGGACCTGAATATGCCACTAGACCCACACCTGGATACATCCCACGGAACTAGCACAATATCACCACACTGCGTACGGTCTGCCACCAAGGCACTGAACAGACTGGGCCTTGTAGATTGTTGGAGGACCGCACACCCAGATGACAGGGATTACACACACTTTTCCCACGTCCACCACCGCTACAGCCGCATTGACTACATATTCATGCCCCAAGAATACCTTCCCCTACTACATGACGCACATATTGGCCTCATGACCCACTCCGACCATGCTCCGGTTAAAGTTCGCACAGGCTCACCCCTCTATAAACCGAGGAACAGACAGTGGAAGCTCAATGAAACTTTGCTGAACGACCCAGTTTCCCGCGCATCCGCACTTCAGACGATCACACAATATTTTGACACAAATGACGACCCGGACACACCCCCCCTGACGATCTGGGAAGCACATAAATGTGTACTGAGAGGCCACTACATTGCCGTCTGCACTCAGCGCAAAAAAGACAGACTCAAGCGCATCAATACCCTCACATCCAAGGTAACCACCTTGGAAGCCACACACAAACAAACACTAGACGACAACACTTACCTTCAACTGACCGAAGCTCGGAGAGAACTTAGGGACCACCTCTCTCAGGGGCTGTTACATACCCTGGCCAAATCGGCCAGGTACTTCTATGAACACTCCAACAAAAGCGGTCGCCTACTGGCAAAAATGCTCCAGGCACGACGGAGGGCGCAACATATTCACAAGATAAACACGCGAGATCAGGGTAGCACTAGACACCCAGAAGGCATTCTAGACGCATTTCAGGCCTATTACAAAGACCTATACAACCAGACACTGACCACGCACGGGACAGCACAACAGACACACCAACGGAGGATCTCAGACTACCTAGCCCAACACATAACCAAAACGCTCTCCCAGGAACAATCAGAGGACCTGGAGCAACCCCTAACGCTCGAGGAACTCAAGGGAGCCCTGAAAAGCATGAAACCCCACAGAGCACCTGGCCCAGACGGACTGCCACTCTCCTACCTCCGCACTTTCAGCGACATCCTACTGCCCAGGCTACTGGAAGGACTAAACTCGATCCGCGAGGGCGGACGATTCCCGACAGATACCCTAGCCGCCACAATCACAATAATCCCCAAAGAGGGTAAGGACCCGACTAATTGCTCGAGCTATCGCCCGATTTCGCTCCTAAATTCGGACCTTAAGCTCTTTGCCAAGGCCCTGGCCCGAAGGATCTCTCCGATCCTACCAGACCTTATCCACCCCGATCAAGTCGGGTTTATTCCGGGCAGGGAAGCCAGAGACGACACGATACGTGCACTCAACGTCATCCACATAGCGAAAACCAGGAAACGCGAGACTGTACTGCTCTCGACGGACGCCGAAAAGGCGTTTGACCGAGTAGACTGGACATACCTCACATCCACCCTTCACCACCTACGATTCGGTCCCCAGCTATGCAACTGGGTGTCAGCACTGTATACGACGCCGACGGCGCGGATCCGCATTAACGGAACCCTCACGCAAGCTTTCCCCATCAGCAATGGCACACGCCAAGGCTGCCCCCTGTCCCCCCTCCTGTTTGCCCTCTCTCTAGAACCATTTCTGGAGGCGGTCAGACAGGACGGGGGCATTACGGGGGTGACACTGGACGCAGAGGTACACAAGGTGGCAGCGTACGCGGACGACATGCTGTTCTTCCTAGAACAACCCCTCATCTCCATCCCTAATCTCCTCCAGGCGTTCCGCGACTACCGCCAAGTCTCCAATTTGAAACTAAATCTAGACAAATCTGAAGCCCTGCCCTTACTAGACGACGCCGGGTTGGCTGAACGCCTGAACGCAAAGTTTGCCTTCGCGTGGCGAACGGTCAAGCTGAGGTACCTAGGCACTTGGCTGCCACGTGACCTCTCGCAACTTTATCAACTGAATTTCCCTCCCCTCCTCGCGAACATCCAAAAGGATCTCCTCAGATGGTCCCCGCAATACCTCACCTGGTTCGGCCGCATACAAGCGTTGAAGATGAACGTCCTCCCCAGACTCCTGTACCTATTCGCGACGCTGCCTACCACAATCCCACAATCCTTCTTCCGCACCCTGACACGGGAAATTCGAAGCTTTGTATGGAACCGCTCGGTGTCCCGCATACGCAGGACCACACTGGAACGGCCAAAGGTTGCGGGGGGAGCTGGGCTCCCCTCCGTGCAGCGATACTACCAGGCCACACACCTGCAGAGGCTAGTTGACTGGCATGCACGCCCAAGCACCAAACGATGGGTGCTCATGGAGACCCAGCAGTCGCAGGGCGCAATCCCGGCCCGAATCTGGCTTGGATCGGCCACCCACGCGGAACTCCGAACACAAAACCCACTCATTGATGCCACCCTAGGAGTCTGGTGTAGGCTGCGCTTTTCCCACCAACTCACCACATCACCTAACCCACTCACCCCGATCGCTTACAACCCGAATCTTGCGGGGGGCCTCCCCCCCGCGGCCTTTCGGAACTTCCTCCAGACGGACTGGATCTACTTACACCAATGGATCATTGGCAGGACCCTCAAGCCATTGCCCGACGTCATCACTACCCAGCAACCGACCCCGCTTGATAGGTTCCGCTTCCACCAGGTTAAAACCTACTACACGACCCTACAGGGCAAAGACCACATCCACAGACAACTGACTGACTTCGAACGGCTATGCACAGACAGGAAACATATAGAACATGCGATATCATACCTCTACACAAGCCTACAGTCACTGAGCAATGACAGCCCACTCGGGTTTACAGAAAAATGGGAACGCGAGACGGGTACACACTTGACTACCCAAGAATGGGAGAAAATCTTTCTATTGACACACAAATGCTCCATAAGCTCCAAATACCAAGAGATGAGCTATAAATTACTCACACAATGGTATAGGACCCCGGAGGTACTAAAACATATGCACGACACAGCCTCTGGGGAATGCTGGAGATGTAATTCCGCCCCTGGCTCCAATCTCCATATATGGTGGTCATGCCCCCGCATAGTCCCGTTCTGGAAACTGATACACACAAAGATTAAGGAAATCACAGACTCTGACCTCCCACTACAACCACTGCCAATGCTACTCCACCACACAGCCACCTCTACACAACAATACAAGAAATCCCTTACGATACACCTGCTCTCCGCCGCTAAAAGCCTCATTCCACTACATTGGAAAAGCCGCACAGTACCCACCTACACACAGTGGGTGGATAGGGTGGAGGAAATCCACAATATGGAAATGATGACTGCGTCCCTGCGGGAACGCTCGGACAAATGTGCCCTCCTCTGGTACCCCTGGACTACCTACACGGCACAGAGACGGACTTGACCCCCAAACTCGCTCCTCCAAGCGAATCCTGATATACCCACAATTAATCCCACCCTGACTCCACTGTTAGACCCTAGACCTCCAACTCAGACTCCCTCCCTCCCCCCTTCCCCCCTTGGCAAAACAGTGCCAAGACCAGACATCACCAGAACCTCGAATGCCCATTAGACTGAGCACTCAAAAATCGATCACATACGTAGCTTTCGCCCTCCCCCTCTAAGCAAGACGTCAACACACCAAAAATACTGGAGTATAACCGCAAGTCCCTGAATAACATAAAACCGCCTAAATTTCAAAGGGCACACCTGCCCCCGACTGAGAAACACCCTGGCGGACACGCCGCAAGTTAAAAATACACTGACTTAGGGAAACACGCTGAACGCAGCCCTATACCACCAACAGAAACGACGCACTATAAAGGTTTATGTAATGTATTGTAACCTGATAATTGTCAACCCCCTTCCCTCCCCCACCCCTTTCTCTTTT